AGAACGAGTTCAAAACTTCAGGATATAATGAATTCTGTCCGCTAAACGTGATTATAAGATCGAAAAAATCGAAAAATCATATTTTTATTAATGGCTTTTGCAGAAACCCTTTCGAAAAGCATTAGAGTTCTATAAAATCTCTTTCTGGATCTCCTGTAAATAGGATACAGAGTAGCCTAAATGCATTACATACCGAAGTTTTGAACTCGTTCTGATGTATTTTGAGTGAATAGTGAATTTTTTAATATTAGCTGAAAACAGTCTGAAAACCCTAGTTTTCATAAAAATCCCTTTTTCGATAGATTTTTAAACTTTTCTAAAAGTAAATATTGCCACGAGACTCAGCATGATTGATTATGTATAATCCATTGGCTTGCAAGGCTACGAAGAGTCACCAGGTGCCAGTCATGGGACTTGTAGGACATCCGGTACAACGCCAGAGCCGTAGAAAATCTAGGTCTCGCATTTGACGCCCATTTCTTAGAGGACACTTGTAGCTACATACCCATGCAAAAGAACGACTACATTTCCATGAGACATTCGGGAGTTCTGATCTGGTTTCCCAAAAATCTCCTCAAAAATCAACTTGAAAATTTTTTCCGAAATTCACTCCTATTTACATGAATACTATTTCTATGCTTAGGAAGACTTGTTTTCTTTGTGAACTTCAGACATAGAATAGGGTGGTCTACTATTACGGTCAAATTTTGTCCCTGGCTGGTAGTCCAACGGTAACCTCCACGTACTTGAAGTCCATCTCGTATTAGAAGTATACTGTCACGAAACTTTTTTAAAAATTCCCATATAGCTATAGAACATTTTTCGATTTTTTTCGCGGACAGACCATGGTCTTCTATTTGGCTACCTGCAATTTTTAGTTGACAAGCGCTTGAACCAGTGCTTGTCAAGTGAAAAATCAAGTACTTGCACGCTGGATAAGTACTTACAAGTAAATTTATTTCCGGAAAAAAGACAAGTATCAAAAAAAGAATAAAAAAATCTAACAGTCAACAGTCAGGAACGGACAGTAATCCATTGACACGTCATTAGATTGTTCAGAGCAATTACCGTTATTAAAGAAAATGGATTATTAATAAAGAGTTGGCACTCTAAATTGACACATTATTGTATATAGGGAAATTTTACAGTGATTCTAAGTTTCTCTAAGAAAAAACTATGCACTTTATACATCTTCGGATCGACAATAGGGCTGCCACGTTACTGTTACTTTCCCGGTAATCCAAATATTGTACGTATCCCTATTATCAGTAACAGTAGTTTTACTGTTATTTCTTTCTTTTGCCATCGTTCAATAGACATCACCAAACTGGCTAAATATCATTTCAAAATTTTTAAACATGTCACTTGTCCGTTAAAAAGATCCACTCCCGTCTTTTCGGACATTTCGCACTCTGGTGGACTCGTTTCAATACTGTCTCGAGATCACACATTTATGCACACAAAAAGCTACTCTAGATTAAATATCTATTAGATATATATATATTTTATTATTCAACAAACTAACTTACGAAGAAAATATGATAGTAAAAAATGTTTTTAAATCATCACTCCATTAATATTGGTGGACAACCAAACGTGGTCCTACTCATTCTCCATTGTTGAAATAATCCCATTTAGTAAACGTAACTGAAGCACCTCTAGGTTTGAATGTTATTTCATACTCGGACTTCATATCTATTTGTGACGGAGATGGTCTCTTACAGTAATCGATGTGTGTTTTATCTGTGCTAAGAGTTCCATGACCAGCCATAGTTGTACCACCTGTTAAATGAATTGTAACTTCGCCAAAAATATGACCGGCGCTATCAACACATGTTTTTTGTGGTCTTTTTTGGCCCTGCCTTTGTCGAAATCAAATCTAAACAAATCGCGCATTAGGGATAAGAAAATGCCCACCTAAATTAATTACATTTTTAAGAATAAAAAAAGATTCTACGATAGCAGGGAAAGTCTCGCAGTCTCAACAGGTTACTGATATTCAAGGAAAATCTGTGTAGTAACTAAATGTCTGAAGCCTACATCAGCAGATCCATTTCACATTAACTATACATGTTTCCTTTATATTAATTATAGACATAGGCCTGTCCATGCCTAAAGCTGAGAATATACAGTCAACCTTTATGCATGTGATTAATGATGCTAAATGAAATATAGTTCTCTAGAGCGAGTATCTCATATCTCATTGGGTACGCACTACTTTTTCCCGACATAAACCTTATATTTAAAATTGACAGTTAGCGTTCAAATACTTTATTTTCTGAAATGAATATGTCACTTTAACATAAAAAGTTTTTTTTATACTTTTCACAAATTGTTCTTTATATACTTGTGATGGTAAAATGAAAATAATAAATAGTATTGTTGATGGTATATATGGTAGAAAATAACTAAATAAAAAGATATATCTTTGACTGAGATTACTATTTTCGAATTTCATACATTTATACATAAATGTTGTTATTAAACGTGGTATGTCTAATAAAACAAGTAAAAATAGACTTATAATTAAATGTTTATGTATAAGTAATTGTTTTTTTAATAGTTATATTATTCAATAGTTCTGTTTGTTTTATTAACACTTGATACGTGCAACTTCTTGATCTCAGAGCTAGTGCTTTTATTTTTAAGTTTTTGTTTCGGGAGCAGCGAATTTTGAAGATATGACGAAGTATTACGATTAGCGATAGTTCATAACTGCATTCTTAACCTGTTTTTGATTTTACAAAAATGTTTTTCAATTATATTAAATATACTTAGTTTTATAGGAAACGTAAAAAAGTCAAAGAATGTCAATATAAAAGACAAATACCGGCTTCATTAAGCAAGCGGAGTACTTGTGCACAAGTACGTTCTCTAGGGAATGGCTCAAGACAAACGCAAACAAAGTACTTTTCTTTCTGTTCTGCTGACATCATGTCTCGGTCAGTACAATGTGTCATGTTCTTTTCATTCTCCTGACGTCATGTTATGTCCGGTACTTGATGTCATTACTGTACATTATATGGATACTACGCCAATTATTGAATCATATATGATTCATGGACTTGTGAGTGAACTTTTTTCTACTATACGTCCTGAATCATATGTAATTAGGAAAATTAAAAGGCTCCCGAAGGAACTTTTGTGCCAAAAACATACATACAAACGCAGTTGAGAACATCTAGGGGATAATAAAAGCATGAAACGATTTAAACGATGAGCCTGCAAACACAAATAAACGTATCAAGGGTCTTTCCAGTTTACAGTGTTAAACGCGAGGTAGATAAACTCTACTATCAAATGTAACGGAACTTCTCCTCATTAAATAATGATCTGTATATCAAAGCATTAGTATCTGACAAAAATTGTTTATATGATGAAGAAAATAGTAAAACACTATTGACTACATTATTCTTCCTACCATGTACAGCGAGCTGCAGTGGTTAAATCTATAAATGGTTCGATATCAAATCCAGATTACTCATTAAAAACTCTGTTATTGTTAACTAACACAATTCGTAAAGATAATTACTGCGTAATCTATCGTTTAGTTACATTGATACATTGATGAAACCTCAAGATTTGCTATTGGTAGATAAATACTATGTTACGTTTAAAAGTTATGTAATCTCTCTTACTATTCTTCTTCTGTTTTTCACTAATTATTTTTTCTTTTCTTCGTAATTAAGATTTTGTTATTCATATTTACATATTGTAAAATCAAAGGCATATTTATTTATATTATTTTTGTTGTAGTTTATGGTAATCAAGGAGAAAGTATAATGATTTCTATCGATTCCATCTTTACGATTAGATATTCTCGAATACGTTGTATTTTTTACGTTTTCCATTTAAAATAAATACAGTTTAAACCAAACATCTAGCAGAACAAACAATGTTTTTTCCATTAACCGACAAAAGATTAAAATACCATTATGTGTCAAAAAAATGTCCTGATTAATTGTACAATTAACCCTTTACACCCCCTTGGGTCATTTTTGGCCCATTCGTAAAAACTATATAGTGGAATAAGAAAGCATCGGATCAAGAAGCTTTTTGAACATTGTAGAGAGAAATGAATAAGTTATAGATTCGCAAAAAAATAGTTTTTTTTCATCACTCCCTGGCTGAGATATTTGAGTCTGAAAATGATGGATTTTCAAAAAAGTGAAAAATCTGATCTTTTATTTTGCTTAACTTTACCGATGGATTATTTTTCCGTTTAGGCGGTTGATATATACTGTTGTAGGTGTCCTCTATTTGCCGGAAAGCGTTTGAAAATTTTTTGTTTAGCGATGTGGGAGCAGCGTCCTTCAGGACCACTTGGGGCATTTTTGACCCATTGGGGTTGAGTGACATAAAAAATGTTTTTTCTGCAACTGTTTTGTTTATCGATATAAGCGTATAATTAACAGTATATTCATGCTAAAACTTCTATTAGAACTAATAGCCATTCAAAAAACAGTGCACTCGGGTGTATTTTGAATAAATTTGAATCGGTAGAAGATAGTGTTGGAGAAAAAACTCTAACACAACATATAGATATCAGTATACGAGCTATAGTTTACGCGAACAACGAGCTATAGTTTACGCGAACAAAAGAGGAAAAATTATAAAGAATGACTTAATAATATGTCTATCTGGGTACAATTCTCTCTCCAATTTCATACGGCCTGACTTAATCTGTCCTTCTATGTCGAGAGATAGAAAATAAACTTTGTGTCTGTAAATATTTTAAATATGTATTTTATTCTTCTATTTTCGTACGAATAAGTACATCTTGATTCTATGCCTTGTGCGAGAGAGATTAATATACCTTGTAAAAGAAAAGAAAAAGAAAAAGAAACTATAAATAGGCGTGCAACAAGGAAAAAGTTTAAGCAGTCATTTAACATCTTTAACACTGCACAAGTTATATGAATAGAGTTTTAACTTTATATTTTTATATTTTATTTTAATACTATTACGTACACTGAAGAAGACCTCAAGTGTAAGAGGTCGAAACGTTTGTTGTTGTGTTGTTAAATTTATAAATTTAAAAATTTAAATTTGTTTTTCAAAAATTAAAATACGGTACTAAAGTATTCAACTTCAACTCTAATATATATCTATTCCGTATCGGCCAATTATTTACTTTCAATAAGCTTTCTCTCTTGTTCGGTTGTGTTCACCCTCATTTGTCTTTCAGATAATGTCACAAAGCAGTAGTACAACAATTTCATCGGATTCCGATGTTTTATATAGTTTGAACACAAATCGTGATTCTGACGAAGCTGATGATAGTACTTTGGCTGTCGATGACTTGGAAGATAGTGATGATGCTGACGTTCATGATAAAATGGAAAGTGATTAGGAAGACGAGAAAAATGATGGTACTGATGTTAGTGATAGTGTCGATACTGACTCGGATGACACTGATATTGACATGTCAGCATTTGATCGACATAAGATTCGATGGTCAAAAAAAACAAAATTCGAACCATATCTACCTATTTTTGATGGTGAGTTTACGTTGAAAGATGATATTAATTTGCCGAAATATCGATCACTGTATGATTTTTTCAACTTATTTTTAACAACAGAAATTGTTGATTACATAGTTGGACAATCAAATTTATATCGGACACAACAAAATTTCAAACGAGAACCGATGACCCATTTAGACTTGTATCGTTTGATTGGGTTTTTGTTTTATGCATCATTGATTAAATTGCCTTCCAAACCAGATTATTGGTCGGCTGCATATGGTTGCGAAACAGTAATCAAAAATATAACAAGAAATTGGGTAGAAGAATTATTGCGTTCATTACATTTTGGTGATAATACTCTTCGAACAAACCTTGATGATAAAATACAACCGTTGATTGTATTATTTAATGATCGGTGTGGTTCGATGGTGAACCAGGAACAATGTATCTCGATTGATGAACAAATGGTAGGGTATAAAGGTAAAGCAGCGCCGAAACCTTTAAAACAATATATGCCAAATAAGTCCACAAAAAGAGGTTTCAAACTTCACGATGTGGTGTATCTGCATATACTTATTATATTACATTATATCGAGGTGCCAATGCATGCACGCTTGTTGTACAACCGGTGGCATCATCTCATACAACAGCTTCATATTCACATCAGACACGTTCAACGCATCAAAATAATGAGAATGATGAGAAATCAGTCGAACGATGTGATGATATAAAACGTTATGGTAAATCAGGCATGGTTGTACTTGATTTATTAGAAGGCGTGCCGAAAGGTTCACATGTTTTTGTTGACAATTATTTTGCATCGACAGCATTATTACATCAAATGACCACACTTGGTTATGGATTAACATGTACATTAAAATCCAGTCGTATTGGAAATTGTCCAATTGAATCAGAAAAAAGTATGAAAAAACATTCTCGGGGTTATTATGATTATTTGGTATCAAATGATAAAAATATGATATTAGTGGCATGGCAAGACAATAGACGTGTACTTATGGGGTCAAATTTTGTTGGTGTCGAGCCAGTTATACAATTGTCAAGATGGAACAAACAAAAACATAAAAAAACAAATGTTGATGCACCACAAATAGTGAATATATATAATCAACATATGGGCGGCGTCGATACGGTCGATATGTTGTGTGCGTTACATCCCATACCATTTAGATCGAAAAAATGGTATATGCGTATTGCATGGAGAATATTTGATTTGATGGTGATCAATGCTTGGGTTTTATGGAAACATGTGACACCAAATGATGAAAGAACTTCGAGAAGTTCACGTTTGTTTTCTTTTAAAATGGCAATTGCAAATTTAATGTTGCAAGAACCAACAGCAATTGAACGTCGAATATCAAAAGCATTAGCTTGGCAACATTCATCATCAGAATCAGACAATGATGGAAATAATTTCAGTCAACCAAAACGCAAAAAACGAGAATCTGCATTGAATGTCTCAATTATATCTCGTTTTGATGGTTTAGAACATTGGCCACAACTTCAACAAAATGTGCGTCTTCGATGTAAAAATGAAGCTTGTAAATTGAAAACAAATGTATTTTGCTCGAAATGTAAAGTACATTTATGTCTGAACGTGACACGTAATTGTTTTAAAGAGTATCATAGTAAAAAATAAATATATCATATTCCACACACTGGTATTGGTTTCTTTGTTATTTTTTCATTGTCAACTTTGACTTTAATAAAAATTAAGCTTATCATATATCATTTTGAGAAATGATTCATTTTCTAAAAAATAATTCATAATAGAAGAACTTTCTGGCTTTATACCGATAAAAAAAACAAGTAGACAAAAAATCAAATTTTCATGTCACTCGACATCAATGGGTCATTTATGACCCATTCTGCCTCTTCACAGTGCAAGGACTTCGCTCGAATCTAACCATACTAGTGTCATATTGAGTACCCACATAAGCTATTCCAATGGTCAATCGAACACCAACTCTGCTGGATTAACGCCGGGGTGTAAAGGGTTAATCGACAAACGTGAAATGGTAGCCCTAGTACTTAGGACATGAACCAGATTTTTTATTATCAGCGGTCGAAACACTATCGCAAAATAGAAAACATTTTAGTCGTTAGAAAGTATATATAAGTTTATTAATATGTTTATTATTATATTATATTATTATTATTAATATTAATATGTTTTTGATATACATTTTTTGCTCAATAAGTCAGTTAGCAGTCGGTTCGTACTTTCAATCATTCTTTTCAATGGATGTTCATTTATTTCTATATAGGCGTCGATTCTAGCCATATAGATCTATGATTTTTTCTCATAATTTTGAGTTATATATTCTTCAAATATTATTTTTTACTTGCTTGGTTCTGATAATAGCTTTTGGTGAACTTCTCTTAAGAGAAAACACAAAAAATGTTGCATACATGCATCTCTGTCTGTCTGTACTGTATTTGTTGATGTATATACGTTATAGTGGATCAAATTGTGCGATTGCCACTTCGATATGCTACATACATATAAGGTGCCACTAATTCAAAGTTCAACGCGCATCTTTCAAAAACACGCTCTATCTCAGCCCACTTTTACACTAGAATTTTTTTGACGTGATATTTGGAATCCTTGGATGAAACTGACCCTAGACACATGGTTTAGAGCCAGATGCCGCACATCCTTCCGGCTGAAAATATTTCGAAATCAGCACTTCTCCGCATGTAGTACCGAATTTCCCAACCCCGTTTTTAGATATTTGAACAGCAGATAGCGCCCGCATTCTTACATCATTCGAACCGCTGGGAGACGCGCAACAACTTAATGTTTTGCTTTTTTCGATAATTTGTTCTCGGGGAACGTATGGTATATTTTTACCCCTTCGGTTGTCTTTACCGCGACCAAATGTTGACTAAACATTAGAGATGATTATCACTTGTATAGTTATATCTTTTAGTCCAATCGGTACGACGACGTTTTATACTCACCACCGTATTCAATCACAAAAATCGAAAGATTTTTGGTACGTTTTATATTGGCGTTATTAACACTGGCGAATAGTATTAAAAGAATTGTATTGTATTTCTAACAAGCAGTGGATGAAAATGAAGCAGCACCGGGATTTGTAATCAGTGAAATAATGCTGACATATTTCCTAATAGTTAGCCACGTTTTGTTAATGAAGATTTTTTATCTGATGTAAGTTACTGAATTACGTCAAGTTTAGTACTCACTATTCACTGTTTTCCTTTCGAAATACTTTAGTATCGGACGATTATCGGACAAAGTCATGTCAGAAATTGAGTTTATTTTACATCATGAGTCAGTATCATCAGCGTGTCTTCGGGGTCCTTTACTAGCGATGCTAGTTATAAGGTACCTAAAGATGGTACTATAAATCTCCCGAACGGTTAGAACGAGGTTTTGTAGAAAATCTATTTATCGGGAGATTTTTAGTACCATCTTTAGGTACCTTATAACTAGCATCGCTAGTAAAGTACCCATCGTACACTTCGTGTCGACGTTAAAATATGGTCGACGTTTATGTATAATATGGCTAGTAACATGTGAGTGATCACTTGTAAAGACTATTTAAATATATACGTAAAGTGTACGATCTTCATACGAATGTATTACCATAACTCGTAGTTTCCTTTTGGACAGTTTAGGGCAGAAGAAAAATGCGTAGTTGGAGAAGTGAAACGATATGAAGGTCGGCAGATCGAATCTAGGAACAGAACTTCAAAAACTGTTCTAATGGTTTAGAAAAAAAGATCTTAGAACTAATAACAATATAGTGCTTTTATTGTATGTATTATTTTTTTCTAGCTTTGTAATCTATAAAATTAACATTACAAATGAATTATTAGAAGTATATTGATAATGGAAGTTCTCAATGCCATTCCTTCGTTCAGAGTACGTAAAGTTCTGTGTATAAACTAAATAGTCAAATAGTGTCATGTCTATAATGCGTCTAAGATTGATGATATTCAACAAACATTTTTCTAAGCCCTGTGTGCACAAGAGAATGTAAATTATAACTTTTTAAGGTATCAACACTACCAGACGAACTCTACGAATTTATTTTTCTATATTTGAAATCGATTGACATTATCTACTCCTTTTTCAATTTAAATTCTCTTTTTGACCGTCTTGTTCCACCATTTTTATGTGCAATTGATTTATCCGCTGTTGATCAACATATTCTGGATGGATATTGTCAGCAAATTTTACCAAAAATTCGACATCATGTATAAATAATTAAATTTGATGATAAAAATATTTACCGTATTCTTCCCTTGCCAACAGCATATCCAAACCTCTGTTCACTCTCAATAACAGAAGTCGTTGAAATAAATGGCAAATATTTATCTTATCTAAGTTCATTTAAAGAATTATGTACTTTGGAAATGTATTTTGATAATCAACTATGTGAGCAAAAGTTGTCAAATGAGATATTCTCAAATTTATTTCAATCAAATTGTCAGCTACAGTCATTAATATTCCTTCATGTTTACTTCAGTATTAATGCCGGTAGTATCCAACCATGTTCTATTAGAAGATTAAAAATAATATTAGGTTCTCAATATGATTTAAATGTTTTATTAATGAATTTATCATTGATTGAATACTTGGATGTTGAATTACTCAGAGTTATACGTCATGGAAATCACCAAGAAAATTATGCTAATATTCTATCATTACC